TATATATATATATATATATATATTGTAACAACCCAAACCTTAATTAATATTTAATTAATAATTTAATAGAGGAAAAGACAAGTATACCCCTAGAATATTTTATTAGGTTTTAAGTTGACTTTTTGACCGGGAAAGAATTTGGGAAATATCCACTTGTATCGTTGCGTAGAGCGCGATGAAAAGAGTCCGTAGACACGTAATGGACTCGAATCGGTTTTGTAACGAAGAAATTACGAGCAAAATACATAGAAAGGGCAAAATGGTAATTTTTAAAATCAAATTTCCTTCTCTCTCTCCTTATGCCTTATATGTACATGCCCACCTCCATCTAGCATGAGGCCTTTTGGGAGCTCACTGGCTTCGGATTCATGGGAACTCCGAAGTTAAGCGAGTTCGGGTTGGAGCAATCCCAGGATGGGTAACCTACTAGGAAGTTGTTCGTGAGTTTCCAAAAACAAAACCGTGATGGTAGAGAAGGGGGCCCAAAGCGGATAATATTGTGGTACAGCGGAGCCGATCCCGGGATGTAACATAATAGGAGAAACCATATGCATATCAGGAGATTGAGAGGTATGAGCACTAGAATCATGAGGAGATGTAGAGATAACATCTAGGACAGAAGTAGTAGCTTGAGCCAACAAATATGTTGAAGATGATGAATCTGAAGGAAGCACTGAACCAGCATGATCCACATATGGAAATTGGGGAAAATATAAAGGATTAGTTGGTGGAGAGCATGTGGAAGACATAGAAGAAACTGATGTAGAACCACCCTTGTCCTTGAGTTGACCAGAGGGAAAAACGGTCTCATCAAATAGGACATGTCGAGAGACAATCAGTTTGTTGGCATAAGTATCAAAACAAATGTATCCTTTATACTGAGAAGCATAACCAAGGAAAATACATTGTGTAGTTTTAGGCTGAAATTTATTGTGATTATAAGGCTTCATAGAGGGATAACAAGCACAACCAAATATCCTGAGATGGTGAAGAGAAGGAGAGGATCCATACAACACTTCATAAGGCGATTGCATATGTAAAGGCTGACAAGGCAGTCGATTAATCAAGTAAGTTGCAGTTGCACAAGCATGAAACCGGTATTTTTCAACAATGAGGCAGCTTGCAATAAAGTGATGGCAGTTTCCATCAAGTGTATATTCTTTCGTTCGGCTAATCCATTCTGTTCTGGTGTGTAAGGGCAAGATCTATGATGTAAAATACCCTTAGAAGCTAAAAAGTGCTGAAACTGATTACCAATGTACTCCTCCCCCCCTCCATCACTTTGGAGCACTTGAATAGAAGTAGAAAATTGATTGAGCACAAAAGACCAAAAGTGCACAAAATTAGAGTAAACTTCTTATTTATTTCTCAAGGGAAAGATCCATGCGTAACGATAACAAGTACATTCATCTATGAAAGAAACATAGTATCGAAAGCCTTCAATAGAAGTACAAGAAGATGGTCCCCAAAGGTCACTATGAATGACTTGAAATGGTTTATCAGATTTAATAGGAACTAAAGTAAAAGGCAGCTTAGTAAATTTGCCCTTCAAACAAGCTTCACATATAGCAGAATACATAGAGGATGCAAAGATACCATATTGATCCAAAGCAAGTTGCACAACTGAGTTTGTAGGATGTCCAAGTTTGCAATGCCAAAGATCTGAAGTAACCTTCTGTCCAAGCAAGGCAGTAGAAGAAGCAGTGTGATTAAGAGGACGAGGCACAGGATAAAGTCCATTACTGCTCAATCCTTTGTACAGAAGTTTCCCTGTAGCTATGTCCTGTATATATAAGCAATTGGCATCAAAGATACATCGGCAATTATTTTCTTTGCATAATTGATTGACAGATAATAAACCAGTAGATAACTGAGGAACATGAAGAACTGAATTAAGTTGAAAAACATGACTTGGAGTAGGAAGAATAGAGGCTCCAATGTGAGCAATATTGAGACCTGCTCCATTAGCAGCTGTGATAGTATCAGCATTAGGATAAGAAGCAAGTGTAGACAAAGCAAAGATATCTACAGTCATACGGTAGCCCCAGAATCAGCAATCCAAACTTCTTGAGAAGAAGATGCCTGAGCAGACATGGCACTCATCTGAGGGGAAAGAGAAGCATAACTGTCTCTAAAGTGACAAGTGAGGGTAGTGTGATTCCTTTTCCAACAAATTTGACAACATTCAATATCAGCATATTGAGATGAGGTAGATCGATAATTGCAAGTTGCTGCAATGTGTCCTCTTTTGTTGCAAATTTGACAAGTAGGCACATAATATGAACCAGAGAATGGAGGAACATGCTTTGGCCGGCCAAGAATCCCACTTGAATTATTGTAATTACCATTCTTTCTAGGAAATCTTTGAAAAGTATTATAGGATTGAAGACCTCTACCACGATCTCGAAAAGATGAACAACGAAATCCATAAGATGAATTGGGAGAATATGACACAGATTGAGGTGGCACAAAAGAAGGCACAGAATTTGCAGCATTTGGCTTGACAGCCATAGCAGAAAGCAAAGGAATTTGTCGAGCAGTTTTTTCAAGAGTAGATTCCTCAGCCTTAAGTTGAAAACGAAGTTCTTTCATTGATAAAACACTCTCCCTACCACAAATCACGGCCTTAATAGTATTGTACTCAGCAGGTAAA